CATGCTAAGGTAGTTCATTTGTATCCTTTTTTAACTTTTGATTCTCTTTGCTAAGTTTATTATTATTATTATTATTATTATTATTCTCACTGCAATAAAGATATTTTGTGTGTTCGTGGCACTTGTCTTTATTCCGGGCATGTATCCCAACAAACTGTTCCAGGTAGGAAGGAAGTGTCCTCAGGATTTGGGAATAGGAAGTTACTGGAAGATAGACCCTGTTGGAGAAGTGGCTCTGAGTATGTTATTGGGCTTTAGTGGGAACAACAAATGATAAGAGGGCCTGAAATCCCCCTAAGGCCTTGGGTACAAAGCTCCTCCAGGGTGCACAGGCCAGGCCATGCTCAGGAAGGCAGCACCATGGAATGGAGATGGTAGATCCAAGCCAGAGCCAGAGCAGGGGTCGGGGCAGGAGCGAGGCCTCGGGAGGGAGTTGCCAACGGCCCTGTGGTTGAAGCAACAAGTGTAGATCCCCTGGACAGTGAGCACAAATCACTGGGAAATGGGGAAAAGGCCCAAAGCAAGTGCTGGGAGAAGAGAGGGAGCATGCAAGGCTCACTGCTGGGTCAGCCAAATCTGTCAGTGGGAAGCACTTTTGGAAAGCAGGAGCACATAACCCGGGCCAGAGTCACGACAGGGGGAGGCAAAAGTAGTCCATGCCATAGTGTGTATATTGTAATACAAAGAAATAAGGGACAGAATGACTTAATGGGTACCAAGGAACTGATCTGGAGGACCGTATTCACATCCTGGATTGCAAAAATTAACTGGATTTTGTCTCCTGAATTGCTGCAGTGCCCCGACTGATATCGTGCTGGAAAAATAACACACTTCAGTGTAAGTAAACCAGGGATTTTTGTATGTAAGTGCAAATTATTGCCCTGCAAATTTGAAATAAGACTTGACTTGATCACCAAATGCAAACAGTAAATATAGGGGTCAATTACTGCCTGAGTGCATCTTTCAGATGGATCCCAGCTGTCAGCCCCTGGCTCCATGACTTGAGTAGATGGTGTTCCTGCAAGCCCAGCTGCTGTGTTGGTGGTGCTGTGGGCACCTCTGGCCCTGGCCTGCTGTGACTGTGTTTGTGTTGCAGCTCAATAAAGTCCCTTTCAGTGGTGATTGTGTCATTTTTGTGTCAGTTGCTCTCAGTTCCTGTCCCCTCTTCCCCTGCCCCAGTGGCTGCATCACTGCCTTGTGCCTAAAGGAACTCTTCCCCTGCAGCAGTTCCCTGCTGCTCTCAGAGAGGGTGGAGTTGAGGCCCCTGAGCAAAGGGAAAAAGGATCCATCCAAGGCAGGCCCGTGCTCACCCCCTGCATTCCTCCAGCCTCCCATGTTTCCAGTTCCCCTCCCTGCTGGACACCCAGCCTGTTCCCAAACAACCCCTGTTCCTGTTCTCTCTCTGTGTCTCCCCTCCCAACTCCCCTCCTCTAATCTCCAGCTGCCCAGGCCCCTGTTTTTGAGGGGCATTCCTGGGCTGCTGTCCCCCCCTTCTTTATAAATGAAGTGCCAAGAGCCCCAGGTGCAGAGAGGTCTGCAGGGAATCAGTGCCAAGAGCTGCCTGTGCCTGCCTGTGTTCCTGCAGTTCTCCTTCCTGTTCTCCCTGGGCTGGAGAGACCTGCCTGCCCTGTGTTTAGTGGAGCAGAGGGATGGGATTAAATTTGTCCAGAAGGTTTGTTCACAGACACTTGTTTTCTGACAGGCAGTGCCATTTGCCTTTTGCCTTTCCCAAGTTTTCCCAAGTGCTGCCCAGCACGGGGATCCGTGTGCTGGGACAGAGATTGGCAGGAGGAAGGTGAGCCTTGGCCTCACCTGCCCAGCTCAGCTGGGTGGCAGAGAATTGGGGTGGGCTGGCAAGGCATGAACATATTTCTGAGTTCTGGGGTGCCTTGAATCCTCTCCCTCATTTCCTGGGCTTCAGCATCCCAGGTGTCTCTTCCTTTGCCCAAAGTCCAGTGACAGAGGATTGACTAACTACCAAGGGGGGTTTGGAATGAAGAAGGTTCTGTTCAAATGGGGCAAGGAATGCAGTAAGAAAGATGAACCTCCTTTTAGTGCCTGAAGTAGAGAGGAATAAAGATGCTGGAAAAGGCCACGTTTCATTTGTTGTTCCCCCTGGATTTTTCATGGCTCAAACTCTCTAGTGAGCAATTGAAGAGAAGGGTGAAGGGCAGGAGCCTTTGACTTGCCCAGTGCCCTTAATTGCCTTGTTCTCCTCTCTTCCAGGCCAGGCCAAAGCCCTGATCCAGCCCAGCTCTGCCAAGTGCCCTGGGCTGGGAGCAGCCAAAGGCAAGAGGCTGCAGCCCCGCCGGCCGGGCTGGGGGCTCCTGGTGCTGCCCGTGGGGTGGGGTAAGTCAGAGGGACACCTTTCTCTCCTCCTGGTGTTGGCATTTGCTCCCTGGGCACTGGATGTGTAAGGAAGGATGGAGCAGCAGGGAAGGGGAGTATTTCCAAACTGTCTGAATGTTGTCCCTGGGTTTGGGATGGAGCAGCCATGGGGGTGGTTGGGTTTGGCCTGGGCCGGTCAGGATCAGCCAGAAAGGACCCACCAGACCCCTGAACCCTCACTGGACATGTCCAGCCCCTCAAGTCATTAATTTTCAACAGAGGACAAGCAAGTGTTAATACTTGCTTCTGATCTGTGGAGAATTTCCTTTGGAATGATCAACCAGGGAATGCATTCCTGCAAAGCATCTTTTTGGGTCTTTTGTTTGTTTATTTGTTTGTTTGTAATTTCCTCTCTGCCTTCAATGAGTTTGGTGTGCTCCTGTTAAGGAAGCAGCATGTTTTTATCTTGAAATTTGGGGTGGTTTGGTTTGTTTAGGCTTTTTCCCCCACTGACTCGGGCCTTCCGTGCATAGTCCGTGTTGTCCTACAGGACTGTTCTGGTTCTGGGTCAGAAAGAGAGAAGGGAAGTGGCTTTTCCTCATCTGGAATGTTTCCAAGCAGAAGTGGGGCATCGTCCTGCCCCTCCCCAAAGCACTGCAGGCACCTGGGAGTAGCTCAGGGCTGGCCCAGTTCTCTGAGACAGAACCATGGGGGAGAGGTTTAAGTATTAATCACATCTCTGGTGTCCCTTGGTTGCAAAGATTGGGTCCTCCAGTCCCAGAGGGTTAAGGAAAACAAGGAACTCCTGTTCTTCATGGCAAACCTTCTGTTATTGCTTGTGCAGTCTATGGGTTCTGTTGTCTGAGTTCCTGTCCAGGATCTTTCTAAAAGAACCTGTTAGAAATTTAGAGGTAGGATTAGAATTTGGGTCTGTTGCCTACCCAACTGCCTCCAAGTCCTGATGGACTGGAGTGATGAGTGCTCTCAGCCCAGGGTATTTCTTAATCTTGTGGCTTTCCCTCAGCTGTGGGTGAGGAATTGTGCAAGCAAGGCCTGTGTGCCCCTGGGTGTCTCCCGTGTGTGTCCGTGTGGCAGGGCTGGGACAAGGAGTCGTGCAGGGACCCAGCTGGCACTGGAGCTGCTGCCATTCTGAGCCACTGCCAAGGGGTGGGGAGAGACCATCTGGGAGGCTGTTCCCAGGGTTCCATTGGGAGCTGGATCTCCCTCCAGCTGCAGCAGCCAGGGGAGGGTTCTTCCTTGTGCAGCCCAGTGGCTTCTGCTCAGGCTGGCCCAGAGTGGGGCTGGGGCAGGTTCTCCAGGGAACTGGAGCCAGCCCTGAACGGGGCTCTGGAGAGCAGGAGCTGCAGGGACTGAGGTTTGCAAAGCTGGGCAGAAGTTTGTCAAAGCAGCAGAAGATTGTCATTCCTGTGGCTTTGTGGAGTCCCTGTTGGTGCCCAAGAGAACTGGGTCAGACTGGGTTTGTGGTCCGAGAGCTGCAGCCCTAAATTTGGCAGGCTGTGTGTGCTGGCAATGAAGTGCTATCCCAGAGGCTGATGGTTTCTGTCTCCAGGGATGCCCAGGACGCTGCTAATCCCCAGGGATCTGCTCTGGGTCCAGGCTGTCCGTGCTGGAGGGCCCTGGTGGCTGCAGTCCCTGAGCCCGCAGAGACAGAGAGAGCCCCGGCCCCAGTGGCCTTTGGCCCCTTGTCCTGAATTTGGGGTGAGCCTGGGAGCGTGTGGAAGGTGAGAATGAGGGCTGTGTTTCCAATACATCATCCCTGGGAAGATCCTGTTGTTCCAGAGCGCTGGGGACAGTTTGGGCTTGGCAGCTTCAGAGCTGGGTTGGAGCAGCCCCTGAAAAGAATCAGGAGAGTGGAGGTTTGTCCCAGTGGTGCTTTCACACCCCACTGGACAGTCTGGGCTTTGTGTTTGAGGTTGTCCTGTATTTGCTCTGCAGATAAGGGGCCCTTCCCAATTCAGCCCAGCAGATCCCAAGGGCTCTGACAGGAATATTTGTTCTTTCCTTCCCTTTGGGATAACTTCATCTCCAAACTGCCATGAGCAATTCCTTAATTTCTTCTGGAGAAAACCAAGTGTCAGAGGCAGTTTGCCAAGGAGCCCAGAAGTGTCTTTGGAGCAGAGAGTGCTGCCAGCTGCGTGTGCCTGTCCCCAGCCTGGTACTGCCCACAGGGACACACGGGGCACTGACCATTAGAGGGAACAAAATCACTGCCTGCCAGAGGGTTTGTCCTGGGCCAGTCAGGCCTTGGGCAGGAACTGGACTGGGCAACTCCATCAGCTGCTCTTCCCCCACAAAGCCCCATCCCCTGGGCATTAATGACGTGCCCTGTGCCCACCGCTCACTGTTCACCCAACTGAAACCAAAGCAAGGCTTGCTTTGCTTTGAACAACCTAAAGTAAGTTTAAAACAACATAAATCACTTTTTTCTTCTTTTTTTTTTCTTTTAGATGCTGGAATTGCCTCTCTGGATGTGTGCTGAGCTCTGGCTGCAGGGGACTGTCAGGCCTTGGTGGCTGCGAGTTCCTGTTCTTCTCCCTGGGAAACTGGAAAGAGTTATTCATTAGATTGCAGAAATATTTTCTGAAACCTGTCCCCTTCTTTGTGCCTTTTGCTGACAGATCTTCTCTTTCTGCCTTTGCATGTACAGCTGTTCCCTGATGTCCATTCACTGGCCTGAATTCCTTGCAGCTCCCAGCTGGGGAAACCTGGGAGAACATGGCAGGGACAGAGGTGACATTTGTAGCTGCAAACTTGGGATAATTTCAAGGGGACCCAGCAACTGTTTCTGAAGGAAAAGGTGAGGTGCTGCAGAGGGGAGGGAGGTGGCATTTTGGAGGGGTCCCACTGAGGGGGGAGTGGAGAGCCTGGGGCTGGAGTGTGAGTTCTTAAAGAGGGAAGAAGGGAAGGATGCTTGGGAGGGAAACACTCAGGGAATGTGTAGGGATGGAAGGGAAATGTGGGGCGTCAGGAAGAGAAAATGGGTGATGTAGAGGAAGGGAAATGTTGGGTGTAAGAGTCGATCTCATCTGTAGAGAACAGAAGGACCATTTAGAGATAAAGTGAGGCAGTCAGTGGTGGGCAGGTAGGGAAAATTTGTGTTTGTAAAATTTCAGGTCACCTGTAGCAGAGAGGATGTAGCTCCTGATGGACACTGAGGCAGTCAGCAATGGGCAGGACGGGGGGAAACCTTTGGGGGTAAAACTTGAGGTAATGTCCAGGGCAGAGACGGAATATTTTGAAGGATAAATGAGGTACTCAGTGGTGGACAGTTGGGGAGTGTTTTAGGGTAAACTTGGGGTAGCCCACAGAGTAGAGAATGAACATGTATTTGTACAAATGAGCTGATTACATGTGGGTAGGTAAGGAGAATTTTGGGAGTAAAATCTGGGCAATCTGCAGCAGAGATTATGAATACCTTGGGGTAAAGTGAGGCAGTCAGTGTTGGGCAGGTAGGGAAAAATTCTGTTTGTAAAATTTGAGGTCACGAGGAGCAGAGAATGTACATCCTGAGGTAAACTGGGGTAATCAATTGTGGACTCGTAGGGAAAATGGGGGGGGGAATATCTGAGGTAATCTGCATGGTAGAGATTGAATATTGAGAGGTGAACATGAGGTACTCAGTGGAGGACATGTAGGGAAAATTGTGGGGGTCAAATCTGTGGCAATGTGCAGCAGAGAGAAGGAACATTTTGGAACAAAGTGAGGCAGTCAGTAGGGGAGAGGCAGAGGAATTTCTGAGGGTGAAACTTGAGCAAATCTGCAGGGCAGAGAATGAATATTTGGAGGTCCAAAAGAGGTAATCAGGAGTGTGCAGGTAGGGAAGACTCTGGGGGTTAAAAAGAAGGTAATCTCTAGGGGAGAGAATGACTCTTTTGTGTTCCAGAAGAGGTAATCAGGAGTGGGCTGGAAGGGGAAAGTTTGGGGGTTAGAAAGGAGGTTGATTCTCTCCAGGGCAGGGAATGAACACATTGAGGTAACCTGAGGTGATGAGTGGTGAGAGACACAGAAAACTGGGGGTGTGAAAGTTCAGGCAATCTGCCGGGAAGAGAAGGAATGTGTTGAGGTGAACTGAGGGTCTCTGCAGTGGCCAAGCAGGGAAATGTTGGGCTGAGCCCTGAGTTGCTCCTGTGGGGGGGGCTGCAGCGAGGCCGAGCCCTGGCCCTGATTTGCCAGCCATGGGCAGGGGGCTCTGTGCCAGCCGGGGGAGCAGCGGGGCCCCCGTGGCAGAGAGGGCAGGGGGGCTGTGGAGCTGCCCCGGGGGGAGCGGGGGGGCCTTTCCTGGGCCGCCTCCAGCCCCCCTGGATCCCCGGGGCTGCGCTGCCACCCAAGGCTGTTTGGGGCAGAGAGTGCTGCCAGCTCTGCGTGCCTGTCCCCAGCCTGGCACTGCCCACAGGGACACACGGGGCACTGACCATTAGAGGGAACAAAACCACTGCCTGCCAGAGGGTTTGTCCTGGGCCATCAGGCCTTGGGCAGGAATTGGACTGGGCAACTCCATCAGCTGCTCTTCCCCCACAAAGCCCCATCCCCTGGGCATTAATGACGTGCCCTGTGCCCACCGCTCCCTGTTCACCCAACTGAAACCAGAGCAAGGCTTGCTTTGCTTGGAACAACTTAAAGGAACTTTAAAACAAAATAAATCACTTTTTTCTTCTCTTTTTTTTTTCTTTTAGATGCTGGAATTGCCTCTCTGGATGTGTGCTGAGCTCTGGCTGCAGGGGACTGTCAGGCCTTGGTGGCTGTGAGTTCCTGTTCTTCTCCCTGGGAAACTGGAAAGAGTTATTCATTAGATTGCAGAAATGTTTTCTGAAACCTGTCCCCTTCTTTGTGCCTTTTGCTGACAGATCTTCTCTTTCTGCCTTTCAATTTACAGCCTCCTTGCAGCCCCCAGCCAGGAAAACCTGGGATAACTTAGCTGGGACAGAGGTAACATCTTAGCTGCAAACTTGGGGTAATTTCTAGTGGATACAGCCACTGTTTTTGTAGGGAAGTGTGTTTAACCACATTGGCCTAAGTTGTGTTTGCACCAGCTGGAGCCAGAGGTGCCAGGCAATCCAAAGCAAACCCTGCTCAGCCTCTAAATCTCAGGGGAAGTTCTCCAAGCTGCTCATTGAGGGACTAAAGATACATTGAAATCGAACCACGTGCACTAATAAGGAAACTGGGAATCCCAGTAGTGTTGTCCTAGAACTTTTAACAGCTTTTTAAGCTTTTTATGACAAGAATGGCTTTCTTCCTTTGATTGAATTCTGCAGTAGGATTTGGGGTTTCTTTGGATCCTGAATCCCTCCCAGGGCCCCTGACACTGGTCAGGAGCTGGCAGGACAAACAGAGTCAGAGCTCCTGGCAGGCACAGGGGCTTTCCCCCAGAGTGGATCCAACTGCTGCCCCCAGCCTGGCCAGGCTGGATCTGCTTTGGCTCCCGGCTTCTGCCAGAGACAGAATGTGTTCCCTTGATTGCAATGAGGATCCCGTAGCTTCATCTGCTGGAGGTTCCCTGGGCAGCTGATCCACTCTGCCCCGTGTCCTGCTCTCAGTTCCTGCTCAGCCAGAGCCATCTGTGCCAAGGGCACGAGCACTTACAGCCTGGATAGGGGATGGGGGCCTGGTTTGTGCACAATTCACCTAGAAAGTCAAACGAGGGGATTGTTGGAGTATCTGGCTCCTTAGGGAACCTGCTGGGAGTAGAGAAGAACTGTCCCTGGGGAAAGACAAAAGGAGTTGGTTGGGACTTGGATTGTCCCCTTGGGAGATGCTGGTTGCTGGGATGCAGACAATGCCCTCCCTCAGGCTGCCAAGATCTCTCAGTGCAGGGGCTTTTGCTGACAGGGCAGCACAAAGATTGTTCTCTGCGGGGGGCCCAGGTTTGGATGAATTCTACCTACAGCCCGCAATTCCATGGGGAATTCCTGCTGGAACAGCCTCCCAGTGCCTCCTGGAGCCCGGCTATTCCCCTGCAGAGCTGCCGCTTTAAGGCCAGGTTTGCCGGGAAGCAACCGCGGTTCCAGGTTTGCTGGGAAGCAGCCGCGGTTCCAGGTTTGCTCAGCGGGATCGGGACAAGGCCAGGTTGATGTTGCCCAGACTTTGCTGTTTGTAACCCTCCTGCCCCGGCCCCGCTGGTGTCCCTGGGGGGACTTGAGCGAGTTCGCTGGAATTGGGCCGATTCTCCGCCCCGGGCCGGGCTCCAGGGGATGTGTTGGCCCGGGAGAAGGCGGGGGCCGGACGCGCTCCCGGCCCGGGGCGAGGCAGCCCCTGAGCACGGGCGAGGACGTCTCTCCGGCCGGGAAGCCGCTGTCCCTTCGGAGCCTCGGGAGCGGCCCCGGCGAGTTCTTTTCCCCGAGGAAAGGGATGCACATCCCTGCCTTCAGGGCACCTCGGCTCTGCCCCACCTGTTCCAGCTGTCCACGGGTTCTGCGGTTGCGGTTGGGTCCCCGAAAAACTGCGAATTGCCTCCAAGCCCAACTTTCTCCGAGCATCCCCTTTTCTTTTCGGGCATCTCCGAGGGCTCTCGCTCGGGATTTAGTGCCGCTGAGGGCACATGGCCCTGGCTTTAAGGCTGCTGCTGGCTGCTGGGCTCCGGCTGGAAGGGCAGGGATTTGGGGCGGGCGGGACACACGCGGGGGGCGCGGGGGAGCTCTGGGAGGTGGGCCCTGGGAATGGCTGCCCGCGCTGCTCTGCAGCCCCGCCGTGCCGACACTGCCGAGGGCCGGCTGGATTCTCTGGGTCCTTCTGGGCTGGCGCTGGGGCGTGTCCAGGGTGAGGCATCTCAGGGGGCCCGTCCAGAGCAGCCCCCGGCTGAGGAGCCGCGGGCTGCCCTTTGTCCGTGCCCACCGCAGTGCCCGTGGCCGGTTCCCACCCCTGGGATGTGCGTTTGGCAGACGAGCCCTGCTCGCCAGACAAATCCATCTGGTTGCCGATGGAAGCGCTGGCCCGGAGCTGCTCCATCCCGGCTGCCACGGGCTGTGCTGGGAGTCCTGCGGCTGCGGGCGGGATTGCCTGAGCTCCGGAGCGCCGGGAGCGCCGGCAGGGCAGTGCAGGGCACAGCTCCAGGGCACAGCTCCTCCATCCCCTGGCAATAGGAAGGGCAGTGCAGGGCACAGCTCCTCCATCCCCTGGCAATAGGAAGGGCAGGGCAGGGCACAGCTCCTCCATCCCCTCCATCCCCCTGGGTCGCTCTCTGTCGCTCCGGCCTCCTCCCGGCCCGCGTTCCCTGCCCAGCTGGGACTGCTCAGCGAGCCCCGAGAACGTTCCTGGCGGGAAGCAGGAGCCGCCGAGGGCTCCGTCCAGCTCCGGGCCCGAAAAGCGGCCCCGACCTGAGCCCCCCCCGGCATTTTGGGTTCCGAACGCTCACCTGGAGGAGACGCCCCCCCGCAGGCGGGACCAGGCGGCGACACTCGAGCAACGCCTTTGCCTCGGAGCGAGGGACCCCTCCGGGCTGGGTTGGCTCCTTTATCCCTGGAAACGAGCTCGGACGTGGCACGAGCACCATTGCAGCCTTTGGGTGAATCCCGGACGGGGCCGGAAAACCTCCCTGAGCAGGGCAGTGATGAATTGGTGCCCGTCCCCAGCCGGGCACAGCCCAGCCGGCCGCGCTCCCCGGCCCGTGGCTGCGAAGGGCTCGTGCGGGAGAGGGAGAGCTGCAGAGATTGAATAAAAGCGCAATTCCTGACTATTTCCCTGCGGTCCTTCCCTCCTTTGACTCGCGCGGCAGCGTCCGGTTGGAGCATTTCTTGGCTTCCTCTTCTGCAGCCGTTTCCCTCCCAGGCAGGACCCTCCCCGCCTGCAAATAAAAATGAAACGTTTCAGTGGGCTTTTGAAAAACCAGAGGGTTTGCCCCGGGACGGTGCGAGTTGCCGAGAAAACGGGGGAGGGAAAGGAGAGCCTCAGGTCTCAGCTGGCAGGCGTCAGATGAGCTGCCCCTTGTGGATGGCAGGGCAAAGAAGTGCTGTGGGCCAGACAGGCAACTCTGCTCGGGGTCCCGGAGCACGGGAGGAAGGAGGAAAGGGCTGCCCTCGTTCTTGCCTGCCCCGGCACGACCCCAGCTCCCCGCGGCTGGAGCGATGCCGTGGCCGGAGCCCCGGGGGGCACTGCGGGCGGGAACCCGCCGGGGTGGCGGGGAAGGGGCAGGCGGGCGATGTTTTCGCCGGGGGGGCTGCAGTGGCCTCGGGGG